ATGGCACTTTGTAATTCGATTCTATTATACAACATAACAAATTGGGGAAGGGGGCACTAACAAGTACTTAACAGAACAGATATCATTATATTACAAAGGTATCGCACAAAAATTATTCTAAAAGTAACATACTCCCTACCACTAAAATACCCATCAGAAGAATAAAATTATTCAACCATACAAATATATTATTTATTTATAAATTATACATTAGAAAAATTTTAGTAAAAATCCGTAAAAATCCGTACTAAACCATACACTMAAAGTTACAGAAATAATAGAAAAGGAAAATACATTAAACCGTCATTTACTTTATTGACTAATTMTAGAAACTCTCCCAACTACATGAGGAAAACTATTTTAAACAATTTAAATAATGAAATGGATAGTCTAATATAAAGTGTATGTGAAAGTCAATCCAATAATACCAATGATATAATTAATAAAAATAAAAAAAGGCAATAAATAAAATAGTTTGTGATCTTGATGAGAATGAGTGTATCAATAAAATTATTATAAAAAGTCCTTATTTCTAACATAACATCGTATAATATGTATCTATATCTATATGTATGTTATGCTGATGTTAATTTTTGTTTCTGAAGTTTCTTTTTTCATGTTATGTTTATTTAATTAAATCATATTTTTATTTGCACAAGTATTTTACATTTTTACTTTAAATCAATTGCAATATCGCTGAACTCCGTATACTAGCTAGATACGAACTTATAGCTCAGTTGGTATATTCGTATCAGCTAATTAATTAATGTATTTTATTGTGATTGTTTTGGTTGAATAAATTAACAGATATATCTTACATTGTGTTCCCAAATTATATTCTCTATAATTTTGATAAACCTGTAATATATTCCTATCTTAAAACATCCATGTGCCCAAATATTAYAGAAGAATTGAGCTAATATTTAAAATGTAAATATAACAACTAACTATAGTCTATACAAAATTAAACATATTATTTTTAAGAATGTTTTATAAATTATCTTACAGTATTGTTAATTATTTTCATTATTATACATGAATGTCTTACGTCTTTTAGATTTGGTGTAGAGCAGTTATTCTTGTGATCTAAAGAACATTCTTCAACTGTTAGGAAATCTATAACTCCAATAGCGAACGAAGACACCCACGCTCCTCCGAAACTTGCAAGTGTACCCAATAATGACATGTAAGTAGCACCAAAACGTGAATCACTTATCTGAGAGAAAAATGATAATATAGCTACTCTCATAATATTAACTAGAATCTATAAAAATGAAATCAAAAAATTATTTATACTTATAAAATATTTTTTTTAAAGATATTAAAATTTATAAAAATAGTATTTTAGTTAAAATTGTGAGATCTTAAATCACCTGTTAATTAATAATYCATTGTTACTTACATCATTTATTGATAGTATACATATTAAAAGTGCATAATAATATGTTGAAATATCAACCGACCCGTTCACTGTTATTAATGTCGGTGTATAATAAATAAACACCCCAAATAAAATGTTAAAAAGAAATCTGAAATAACATTAAAAACTTAATAAATTCAATCACGGTTACAAAAACTATAAATAACTTTTGTGTACAGTAACTGTACTACAGTTTTAAAGTTTTTGACAATAATTTWAAAAAAATAATAATAATAAAACTCTAAATTGTCTTATGTCTATAAATAGCGCAAAAATAGTCTCAATACTTCGAAAATTGTATGATGCATTTAAATTATGAATAYACATATTCAGTAAAAAATTCATGTATTTACAGTTATTTAATGTAAAGTAATACTAAAAAACAAAATTGTTATTTTTGTTTTTTCAGACATTTTTGGAAACTTTTAGGAACTTTTACTTTTTATCCTCCTCCTAAAAAAAGTACCAACTATAGCTTTACATTCCTATCGGAAAAAATGCTGTTGAATAAAATTTAACACACTAAATCTATACATAGAACCCAAACTCTTCAATATTTGTTTCTATTTAAAAATAATACTCGTCTAAAARGACTCATTGTGTCATTATTTCATATAATAAAAACCAATAATTTCGTTTTTTCTGAATCTATTCATCTAAACACCTCACACATTTGAAAATTACGTTTTGTTTTTTTGCTGTTAATAAAAAAGTTTACAGTGAGTGA